CCCGCACCAGCCTGCGAACAACAGGGCGTGTAAGAAGCGCAAGCATCGGCAGTGACGGGGAGGGGAGCCCCCCCCGCCGAGGGCTAAGAATGTAACGTATCAATATTAGCAATCTCAATAAAGTCCGGTGCAGTCCAAACCCGTGTTGTCATTGCCCAGTCAACACAACAGCAGCCGACGCTCCCGTCAGGCACGGGGAGGGGAGGGGGGGCGGCGGGGGCCGCCGGCCAGCAGCATAAGAGGCGGCGCACAGATCGGCTCGGTCCATTCCGTGCATCCCACCGCGCCGGCGTCAAGCTCCACCTGTACCGCCGCTGCACCACCATGTCCGCTACCTTGTGGCACCGAGTGTCCACCGGCCAGGCCGTGGTCTGGATCGGTAAGTTGCCTGTCCCGCTCGCGCTGTTGCTCCCGACCATCGTGCTCATCCATTGTTGACATACAGGGCCCAGCTTCCACCTCTGGGAGGATCCGGACTACGTGCCCTTGGCCGTGTACGACCGCGACTATGCCGATTGGGTGGTCGACGCCGATGCGCCGTGGGACAGCGTTGCTGTGGCGCCCAGCCCCCTCCCGTGCCCGCCCTCCCCGGGCTCCAGCCCGGACCAAGGCTGCATCGGTAGCCCCAGCCAGTCGTCCGAGGGGGGCAGCCTCACCACTGCAGCCGCCTCGCCAGCAACCTCCGGCCGCAGCAGCTCCGGGCCGTCCGAGGTCTGGAGCACCCCCAGCCCGGGGCGCACGCGCCAGCCCCAGGATGACAGCGGGGTGGGCGCAATGAGCTCGTTCCTCTGCACCCCAACCCAGCCAGGGAGGCCAGGCTTGGCCATGTCTGTCTCCTCATCCTCACCGTCGTCCTGTAAGTAACTCAATGCCCTGAACATTAGCAATATGCAAGGAAACCGCCACTAACCAATGTCCTTTACAGCGCCTCCCCGTAACGAGCCCTTGTCCCCTTGCGGGCCGCCGTGCCTCCTGCCCTGGGACTGTGCGTGCTTCGAGAACCCAGGGATCCTATATGCCAGGCCTGCCGCCGCGCGTCGCACGCCGAGTGGAAGGCCCACCTGGAGTACCGCGCGCAAGAAGAGCTGGAGAAGGCCAACACCGCCGCCCAGGTCGAGGCCTACTGGGTGGCGAAGGAAGACACCTGGGCGACGGAAGCCGCGCAGGCCGAATGCCTGGAGTTCTTAGGTCAGGAGGCGGACCTGGCCGCAGACCTGGCGGTGGCCGCCGAGTTAGGGCTGTGAGGGAATAAACATGCTGCAACAAAATCGTGTGTACCTGAAAACAAGTCCCCCCCCACCGAGCATAATGAGCGAGCAAAAGGCATGATACAGCAAAGCGAGCAAAGCAATAAGCAGAAATGGGGCGCATGCCTAACGGGCCCTCCAGGGCCTACGCGTTTGGAGTCTAGCAGAAGCGGGAACAGTGCACTGCCATGCATTAAGTACTCTGGTCAGCCCCTGCCCACCCCCCCCAGGGAGAATCGCGAGGAGACATGCCTCCACGAGCCCACTGGCTAGCCCAGTGAGGCCCGCTCTCCACCCAAGCAGAAGGCATTTTTGGAGAAGTGTGAAAACTGTGATCTAGGCAACGGTCGAGGAAGAAAGCCTGATATTATGAATCAGGCGTAGTCTTTGATGCAGGAGCAATGATTTAAAAACCCCAGCCGGAGCGATCAACGTCAGGACTAGCCGAAAACGTAAGTTATTCTGCCGTCTTCAAAGTGCACCTGAAGGTTAGCGGCGACGCATATTTATTTAATTTTGAGGAAAACCAGATTTGAGCGCCAATATATAAATACTGTTCAGGATTCTACTGAAAAATACCTTTCCGATGGTATACTTGAGTGACTCCAGGGCGAGGAGTCACTGAAGTAGACAATTACCAGTTTTTGAGCTAGAATGCTCATCTGCGAACTCGACCTGTCTTTCTATAGTACAAAACGACCCTGAAAATCTCAGGTCGCTAGCTCAATCCGTTTTCGAGTTATAGTGCGGACAGACACACAGCCCAGAGGGAACAAGAAAACAGAAGTCACTAATGCTACAGCATAGTGATTTCCGTTTTGATTGTTCCCCTCATTCTTCTCGTTTTAAGTTTTACCGGATTGCTTAGTTATTGGTCACCTCACTTTGAGAACGCAGTGGTAAGAAGCTTCGCGAAAGCACCAACTAGCGTCGATGAGTTCCTGGCTCCTATAGCAGAGTGGCAAGAACACCCCACATAGCAAAGATCCTGCAGTAAGGATTATTGGCTCGAATTTACTCGTAATGCCCTTGAAAGGAAACAAAGGGTATATTAGATGAGATAAACACAGAGACGTAAGAGGTGTAAGAGGACATTTTCGGTGTGCACGATTGTAGCGCAACGGTGGGGTGTGTGACTGTCAAAAAAATTGCCAGTTACTCTTAAAGGATGTCCCTAGCGGGTTACGTGTTATTTTGTTTGTTTTTTTGTATTTCAGCTATGTGTGTTTTTTTAAGTACTTCCATCCTAAGTCGATGCACAGGTCTGCCCCCTTAACAACTTGACCCAAAGCAGCGTCGAGGTAAATTTGTATTCAGCACGACTCAAAACCACCATGAACATAATGATGATGATCAGAAAATCCGTCCATTTTAAGGTAATGATGCCAGAAAATCGTTCTTTTCTGATGTTAACAAGGGGTAGGGAGTGATCGATCAATCTCACCCCTGAGAGAGAGAGCGAGATCAGTTGCCCTAATTTTGTCGCTCTCTTACAATGATTAGTGAATCAGTTTGATTTAATTATACGTGCCCCGTGCCCCCTCTCAGAGCCTCGTGCCATGTGGTTCAGCTCTTCTCCGCTGGCGCGGGGGCACTCTTTTTTTACCCTTTCCTCTACCTTTTTTCCTTTCTCCCTTTCCGTTGCCTTCCCCTAATGCAGCCCACACGGCCAAGTGCCGATGCAGAACGGGGGAAGGAAGAGGGAGGGTCGCGTTGACCTGGGGTTGATCGTAGGGGGGAAGGTGACCGGAGGGGAGAGATAGAGGGGAGGTTGACCGGAGGGGAGAGATAGAAGGGTTGACCGGAGGGGGAGGGTAATTAAGAGCCCATTTATTGGGGGAGGGGGAGGGACCAGGGGACCTGACCTGGGAGGGGACAGCATTACTACTTAGGCTGTCACGATACTTACGCCCCTGCAGAGGACGCGGTTCATGCTCAGACACTGGATTCGCCTTGGCTAGTGAGAAGTAGGGTTCATAGGGTCTCACCTGACCCTTGCCCCGTCGTTCCTAAAGCACGCCAGTCGCGTGCAGCTGGGGATCAGCGTGGTGGCCTCTCTCGCGGCCGTTTCGAGTACCCAACTTCAAATGTGATCCGGGCCGGGAAAGCGCTGTCTGGTAGCGCCCAGATTTTGCACAGGGTCGCTACAAGGCCAATGTGACTTTTAGAGAGTGCAACCTTTGAAATCGCAGACGTCGACCTTCTTTTAGATACGCGCTAACGTCCGTCGATCTGTAGGGCGAACGACATGTCGCCCGAAGTTCGGTGACACACCGTTGGAAAGAGCACATCCTAGAGAACACTAATGGTAAATATCGCTCAGCTAGCTCAACGCGTCGCCTCCCGAGCGCCGCCCGAGCGCCGCCACACATTTGGACCCCCAATCGGGCCGAAATCTTTGACCGCAAGGTGCGATCACTTCCCGACATCGCACGACGTTCGCGTTTGCACCAAAATTCGTCATTTTTAATGCTCTTTCAAATTTCACGCCGTTCCAATTTTTTTTAAAAATGGGGGCCCAGTCTATCTCAGAGCCGTGCCAGCAGAGAACAGCCGAACCGAACGACGCGACTCCTGAGAGGGCGAGAATGTATTGAGACAGTGCATAAAAAATATCGTCGTAAATTTACAAAATTTCTGTAAACTCGAATCATAAGTTAAGTTGTACATGTACGAGAGCACGAGCACATTTTTTACTCGCCAATTGATTCGAAGTCGATACGTACTGCATGTATTTTTACGATTACAAATGGTAATTTTACAACTTGCGTCAAGGAAAATTTTTGTGTCAACCTATCGACTATTTTTCACAGTGGGTGGATAGGTGAGAATACTTTAAAAATTTTAAAGTTGTTCTTGGGGCACTTTTGATTTTTCCAATGCCAGTAGGAAATTGCAACTGTTGTGTTCAGTTAAGTCTCACAGTCTCGGTACTATTCGCTACCTTCGCTACTATTTGTTACTGTACCTTGATGGTCAATGTTATAGGCACCAAAAAGCTGCTGGCAAGCAGGTACATCAGATGAGTTGCGTAAATCGTCTCGAAGCGCCGAGACAAGTCTTTGACCCGCTGGTGATACTTGATGAGATCTATCACCTCACGCTTAGAAGCAGCTAGTTCCAGCTGCAGAGCAATGGCGTGAAGCAGCGCAGTCAAGGTGATCAGGACAGAGAAAACCAACGCCCACCTATGAAAAGGCATCCATCGTGTCACTGAGGCTGTTGCATTTTGATGGGTAAGAAACTGGTAAAACAAGTGTGCAACTTTTCATCTTTAAGTGTTCAGTTCACATGCTAGACAATACTCATGATTAGTAGCTACATATTTGTTGTCTTGAATTTAATGACATTCAGTTTTGTTGAAACTAAGAGCAGAAACTTGACTGAACATTCTCATGAAATGACACATTGGGAGACCACACAAAAATTAACCCCAGCAAGTGTTTCAGTAAGAAAAGTTTGCGCCCCTAGCATAACCTTTGTTGTAAGACTCGGCAATTTAACACTAGAACCTCTGACATTTTCGTATACCTAGAACCGCGGAAGGGGTCATTTTGACCCCTGCCGCATTTTGCGCGTAAATGTGAAATTTTCGGAGTAATTATCACTGTAAATGGTCTTGGAAACAAGTATGTGTACGTTAAATGATTTTTGCGATACTTATTCTGTATGCTTTGTGGTCTTATTTATCTGGTTAAAACAGCATTTTCGACGCGAAACGCGGCAGGGGACATTTTGACCCCTGACGCTGTCTTAGGTATATCTGTTTCATAACTTCCACAAAAATAGTCGTTCAGCTTCAGGATTGGGTGTCGATATATTTGACATCATTAACGATGTCAAAAATTTTCAACCCGACGCGAAAAAAAAATAAATATAGAAATTATAGACTGAAAATCGAAAAGGGTCAAAATGACCCCTGCCGCGGTTTTAGGTATATCTTCTCACAACTTCCACAAAAACAGTAGTAGGGTCATTCTCCTGAAAACGGGAAATTCGTGTCTTTTTGCTCTCAAAATTCAGTTTTTCTAGCTAGGTACTTCGGAACGGTCTCTAAACATTCGTTGTTGATCTAGAAACAAAATCTAAATGCATTATGGCGACAATTCAAACTTTATAGTCCAGAAATTCACATATGTTTCTCAAAAAACGGAGTAAAAAGGCTAAAAATCGTGTCCCTCACTTTTTTAAATATGAAATATAAACTATTCAAACCTTGAACTAAAACGATAGATCAGAGGTCCAACTTGCGATTGCGACAAGAGTTGCATGTCCAAATATGTTT